GTTTCTGCTTCCCAAGAAAGATACACACACCAAGCAGATATAAGTTTCTGTCTTCAATTTGTTTCAGTTTCAAAGAGTTTCAATTTATGGCATTATTCATTCAGTCTGAGAAATGTAAGCAACTAGGATTTTGAATGCATTCCATTAAACAGTCTCATTAAAAAGCTACCAGGTGTTTTCAGCATAATCTGCACCTCTCTTTTTAGTTTTAATGTTTTCAGTGCTTGTGTGACAGATGCTCTCTCCAGGACCTTTCCTACAGCATCAAAATGTCAATTCTACTCCACAAAGCAAGCCTACATTTAACAACAGTGATGAAGCTCTTCTCCTTTCCCTCTCTACTATCCATATCAGCTCAAGGTGTCACAAAACTTGTACAACTGGCCACGGTTAGAGACAAAGGAAACTGATAAACAAATGCTGTAACTACTCCCATAGTTAAATGTCTTTGGAGATTCTCAGTCACCCAGGTGATGGTTGTCCCGAAGGTGCTTTTTCAAGAGGCAACTAGACTTTCTCGGAGGTGGGGTTCTTTGAAGAGGTTTCGCTTCTCATCCAAGAAACTTCTTCAGCTCTGAGCTGAAGAAGCTTCTTGGATGAGAAACAAAACGTCTTCAAGAAAAACAAAACCCAAAAAGTCCAGTTATCTCTTGAAAAAAGCACCCTTGGTAGTCCCATTCCCATAGTTTCTTGAACCAAGGGTTTTACCTCTTATCAGCACAACAGGACAGCAAGCCCAGGAGAAAATCAAGTATTAACAAAATATGGCAAGTTTCCACAACATTCTGCATATTTCTGCTGCCATTTAAACCTGCGCTCCATACTACTGAACTTAATAAACAAAACTATTCAATGAACAGAATCCACATCTGAAGACAGAGTACTGGTTTTAAAAGTACTTTGGGAATTCCAATGCAAATCATGGAGTATGATATGCTAAGCTTGGCAGGAATCTTCAAAATCGCACAAAGCCAGATGCAGCCAGAGCTTTTCACAAGGCTGGGATTGTTGCCCAGGCACTTCATAAATAATTGTGTCATGCAAAAGATGAACAATATTTGCAATGGAGTGCTTCTCTTCCATAAACAAGGTAAGTGCTTCTGGATTGCTTTTGCTTTAGATTCAGCTACAGATTCCAAAACAAGTAATTTAGATTACGAATTCACTTTATCTACTTCTTGCACATATGTAGCTATTATAAAATTAGCTACATCTTTGTTCCAAAAGCAAAGAGAATACACACTCAGAAGTTCAGTTTATTATTTGTTGCTTCCATTGGAGCCTATTAATGATCTAGTCTCTCTGAAGGAGCAGAGATGGTATTGAAGTGGAAATCAGTGACCAAAGGGACGATAAGTATCATCAAATCCAACTTTTACAGCAACAGCTATCAATGTTAACATTAAGAAAAATGGAAATAAAAATAAATTAATTAAAGCAAAAAATCAATTTGCAAATGAATCAGAGAAATGGCTCGTAAATAAATTATAAAAAAAAAAGAAAGAAAAATGATACTGTAACTGACTATGTTAACGAGCAATGTGGCCATAAAAAATCATTTCAGCACTATTACTCTAATTTGTATAAAGGACATGATATCTCTTTGGAGAAAATAGTTGAATATTTAGAAAAACAAAATCTACAAGACATCTATCGACAAATTTCTACAAGGGAAACATGAATGGATCTATAATATTTGGGAAGTTCCTGAAGCTATAAAAGGATTAAATCAGGAAAAGTACATAGAGTCCTCGACTTACAACCACAATTGAGCCGAAAATTTCTGTTAAGTGAGACATTTGTTGTGAGTTTTGCCCCATTTTACGACCTTTCTTGCCAAAGTTGTTAAGTGAATCATTGCAATTGATAAGTTAGTAACCCAGCTGTTAAGTAAATCTGGCTTCCCCATGACTTTGCTTGTCAGAAGGTCACAAGTGGTGACCTTGGGACACAGCAACGGTCATAAATATGAACCACTTGCCAAGCATCTGAATTTTGATCACAGGTCATGTGATCAAAACAATCCTACGTCACATTTTTCAGTACTGTTGTAACTTTGAATGGTCACTAAACAAACTGTTGTAAATTGAGGACTACCTATACCTGGACCAGAGGGATTATCAGGTTGTTACTATAAACGATCTGAGGATGAACTCTCACAAGCTCTACAAAATATGATGAATTCTAATTTACACAAAGGAAAGATTCCAGACTTGGAAAGAGGCTAATATAGCACTAACACCTAAAGAGCCTGGTGGCGCAGCAGACTAATAGCCTGTTATTATCATTCAGCTGCCTGCAATTACTGCAAGTTCGAATCTCACCAGGCTCAAGGTTGACTCAGCCTTCCATCCTTTCAAAGGTAGGTGAAATGAGGACCCAGATTGTGGGGGCAATAAGATGACTTTGTATAAATATACAAAAGTATGAAGGCTATTGCTTAACGCATTGTAAGCTGCCCTGAGTCTCCGGAGAAGGGCGGCATATAAATCAAATTAAAAAAAAAAAAAGACAAGATTTGACATTGACAAGAAATTATAGATCAATATCATTATTGAATAATGATTATAATTTGTTCACAATGATCCTAGCTGATAGTTTGAAAATAATTTTGCAAGAATGTATTCATGAAATCCATGTGGGTTTTTAAATAAAAGTCTGTTAAAAGATAATATCAGAACTGAGCTAGAATATTGGAACAACATAATGCAGGACTTTACTGTGGCCCTTTTACAATGTGTGGACTTCAACTCCCAGAATTCCTGAGACAGCCAAGCTGGCTCAGGAATTCTGGGAGTTGAAGTCCACAGGTTGTAACAGGGCCACAGTTGCCCACCCCTGGCATAATGGAAACAGGCCGAATTAATTTTTTTAAATGCAGAGAAAGCTGTCGACAATTTGAATTGCACTTTTCTGTTTGAAGTTTTGGAAGATGTGCATTTTGGAGAGAATTTTATAAAAGGGGTAAAGTTAATGTATCCTAAAGCCCTTTATCACATGGGACTACCTCTCCCCAATTACATCAGCCTGCCCGATCTGGCAGAGAGAGCATGTGCAGATATAATCAGCTACAGTCTTACAGTCTACAGTCTGCCACCCTGAGTCTCCGGAGAAAGGCGGCATATAAATTGAACTAAATAAATTGAACTAAATAAATCTGCTGGGTCTCAGACCGCATGCTTTCTCTGCCATGGCGCTTGCCTTACGGAATATCCTTCCCCTTAGATTAGACCATGGAGGTCAAATTCACATTGCTGTCACGTGACATTTTGCCACATTTTTTCCCTTTGCAGAACTGGGATGGGTATGGCCTGCATGTGATACATCTGGCCCATGGGCCACCAGTTTGACACCCCTGGATTAGATCCATTCCTTCTGATATTCCAGAAGTCCCTCAAAACCTGGTTATGTAATTAGGTCTGGTGCTCTCAGGGAACCAGAGATATGCTCAGATGGTTCTGTTGCTAGGTGCTCATTCTTACCCTCCCCCCCTCTTGCTTAATGTTAATATTTATAATGTTTTTATTTTTTAATCTTCATTTTACATTTTTTATATTTCCTGGTTTTGTATGTGTTGTTACTCAATTGTTGTATACTGCCCAAAGTCGTATTTGGTGAGATGAGCAGCTATGCAAATTTGATTAAAAAATTTTTTAAAAAAAGCTTAAAAAATATATCTACATTCACGGTCTGCCCGCGTTGTTCCCAAGTTTCTTTCTTCATGATCTGCATTCCAAGCAGCCGAAGAAAGCAAAGAAAAACCCAGAGGACGAGGCTTATTCAACAGTTTAAATTAATTGTGTTGCCTTTGCCTTTAACAATTTTTTTGCTTTCAAACAGATCATCCCTTTTCCAAGATGTATCCATTCAAGTATGAGCCTATATCTGAGACAGATAGTAAACAATCTAACTGAATGGCCCTTTTCCAAAAGCAACCCTATTGTTTAGAGATCTTAAATCTCAGCTGTGGTGAAACACAGCATTCTCACATAGTACGTTTTAGTGAGAGTTGAGATTTATTGATGTGCTTTCCACAGTTAAAATTTTCAGTGGGGAATTAGTTGGATGGGAAATAAGAATCAGTCATGCTGTACAGGTGATATGAATAGAAATGTTCCGCATATCTAAGAGATAAAAAAGAGATATTCCCTTCAAACAGAATAGGGCTGGTTCCCACTGAACCTCTCCTCACTCACAAAGCGTCATTATTCTCTCCCTTATTAAAACGTATTGGCAGATATACAGGAAAATCTCTAGAAAAGAGATGTTATGAGTCCTAGAAATGTTCAGTTTCAAACAGCTTTAGCAAGATTTCACCCCTGACCTTTCTCAAATAGCTAGAGAAATTATAACAAAATATCCTTCACCTTGGGATTACACAGAAAAATAAAAACAAAGATGTTAGGAACACAGCAAACATGCCCAAACTACTACAGAACTCTACACAAAATCATCACTACTATTCAATATTATTCACCATCTTGGTTAGAGCCATGAGTTAAATATTAGTCTGAAGTGCCCTACTTGAAAGACAATTTAACGATTATGAATTCACATGTGCTCTGCTAAGTAAAGCTGTGACCTTGTCCTAGTAACCTGAAAAGAGAAATGCAAATAGGAAATACAATGATGAGTATCTAAAAAGGGGGATTTACCTTTGCCAGCGATCTACCTGTTCCAACCCCTTTGTGTTCAGATAATTCTACTGAAGAACATTCTTGGCCAGCAGATTCTTATTGTGGCAGAGAATGTATATAAAAATATTCAATCAAGCACTTGTTCAATTGGACAGTTCTGGCATTTTCTGAATATTTATTTAGTGGTCCACAACAGCAGAAACACAACCAATGGCTTGCCATTTATTGAATAGCAGAAGATCTGAATTCATTAATCAACTAGAAATACATCATATAATATATATCTTCTGCAGAATTTTTTTTTTAAATGGAATTTTAACTTCCAGACTCAAAATGAAAGATCTGTTTCACAGTTTCACTCACCTTGATGTATACGTCAAGACTTGAATGGACACGGTTCACTGCCAGATGGATGGATAGTGGAGTTGTATAAGGGAAGGTTGCCGTGACTACATGACTAGGAGCTGGGAAGTTGATAATCTTGAAGCCATACTTCAGAAACATGCGGATCACTTCCTCAGATGGCTTGTTTTCTCCTTCACTCAGGACACTACCTACAGCATAGCGACATTTCTCTGGATCCACCTATGGAAATAAGCAACAACTGGCATTAGAAGGCGAAAGAGCTACAATGCTACATTTAAAATAATAAAATATACAAGTCTTATCATTCTGTCCTGTTACAGTTTTATTTTCAGACTGTGAAAATTCTGGAGAATTTTTGTTTTCTCGGAAATTTTATTATGTATCAGTATTTTCCCAACTATAGTTGGGAACTATAGTTCCTTTCCCAAAATCTATAACAGCCACAGAGTAGTTTTCATCAGAATCAATGTAAGGGGATAATTTTTTTTAAAAAAGCTAACACTTCAAGAATAGTGCCAACTCCTGGGCCACGGCCCACTACAAGGCCTTGAGCTGTTGGGAACCGGGCCACGGAAATGGCAGGTAAGCGCATTCATTCACGTGCACATCCCTCATGCAGAACCATCCCTTCTTCCCACCCACCCCTTCCCACAAAGCTGGAAAGGTTGGGGAACTCTGGCTAAGGAAACTAAGGAAACTGTATGATATGGTATCTCTTCATCAGATGTTTCAAATTCGCTAAAACTCAATACAAATACCCACAAAGATGCATTTATAAACTTGTGGAAACTGGATACATACTATGGGAAGTTGAATTATATGTAACAAAATAATCCCAGCTTTAATAAGCATCTATCTTACAGCACTCTAAAATTCTCCCTTTAAGAAATGGACAAATGGGTTACAATATAGTAGTTTAATGGCAAACACAAACAAGCCATTTTTCATCCAATTTCCAAATAATTCCTATCAATTAACAAGGCAAGTTATCAATGTTATTGATGATATAAGTATGATATAGAAATGTAAAATTAGGATGACTAATTGTTTCATGCTAAGGTTATTCTTGCATAAGTGCTGAAACAGACTGCAGTCCATAGAAGCTTATGCTACCTTATATTTTTTAATCTGTAGAGATCCACAAGATTCTGTTGGTATTTCCTTCACTGGTGCATCATTTAACTATTTTGCTATTCTTTTTGAAAATATTTTATTTGGAATTGAAATTTCTATTATATAGCGCGCAGTGGTGGGATTCAGCAGTTTGCACCACTTCGGGAGAACCGGTTGTTAACTTTCTGAGCAGTTTGGCAAAGTGGTTGTTGGAAGAAATCATTAGGGCAAAGAACAAAGTTGTTAAATTACTTGAATCCCACCACTGATAGCATGGCATTATTTCTCGGCTAGAAGTATAGTCTCATTTTGCAGCCCTGATTAGACAACAGCAGAAAATAACTTGCTTACAGTCACTAAGGAACTAAATGACAGGGGACAGCTTAGCTCATTAATTTTGCACATCTAAAAATTTTTCTTAGACTTTAGAGTGAAAGGTCAACTTGGCATAACTAAAATGACTTAATTATAGTTTTAATGTGGCTCCATAACTCCTTTGTTTGTAATGCCTGAATCAGCCCTGGAATACATGGGGCCACAAAGGACAGGAAAACACTTAGGTTCCTTATCTAATTCCTCAGATACTAAATAATCACAATGCGTTCATAAAAGCAGAAAAAATGTAATTAGAAAACATTTTGTATAGTGATTAAGGTGCTAGAAGAAGTACAGGGAGATACAGGTTTTAATTCCCCCTTAGGCATTAAAGCTGGCTGGAAGACTTTGGGTCAGCCCAACCCATCTCACAGGGTTGTAGTTATGTACACCACCTTGAGATATACCCCAAAAAGATCAGTCAAATATATTTAGATCAGAAAGTATTTATTTCTTTAGAAATTTTAATGTTAAGGAATGGTTTCAATTCATATGTCAGAAGTTAATCAGTAAATTTACCATGACATTGTTTATAGCATTTGTTAGTAAAATCCTCATGGGCCATTTTGCCATGATGGAATTGCCACATATTCCCAGATAATTTGAAAATAAGTTACTGTTTATTTAGTTGCTTATCAATTGTATCTAAACAAGCCACCGCTTAAGAGTTTGCATAAACAGCACTAGTTCTTTTGCCACTTATTCTTGAATAACAATGATATATACAGGCTTTTTAAAAAGTGGACAAATCTTCTATATTTAATTCCAAAGCTTGATAATAGATTTTGCATTTGCAAATGAGCATTCTTGATATCTATCAAATCTATCTTCCAGATCTAAGGAGTGGAGAAACAGATGTTTTCCATAAATGTGCATGGACATTCTCTCTGGTAGAAAACTGCATGGACTTCTGAAACAGAAAATCCATTTGTTATTCACTAGTGCCAATTACACTTAGTAGACACACCAATTAGAGCCAATGTAAGTTAATTGTCTGCTATGACAGAAACAATAAATAAACTCCCATTGTCTACTGTCAGTTCAAAGGCTTCACTGCTCCATCTGCTAATCAAGAACAATGCCCCCGATATCTTATTATTATTCTACACAGAGAGAAACATGGTGTGTTTGGAACCTCATCAAACAAATTTATTAGGTAAGCCAAAAGACCTTTCCATTTTCAGGGTGGGGTTCTGCCCACTCCTTTCCCACCTGGCCCACGTGATTCCAGAAAGCATCTGAAACAGCAATCTTTCCATCCATCTCTTCCTGGTCCAAGTGCCTCACTTTTGAGGAAGTCCTCATGGTGCAGCATTACAAGATTGACCCAGAATACAGGTAAGCAAGGCAAACATGGCGTAGATGAGGCAGAACAGTTGCCAACACAACTAGGATTGCTGCTTTTGTTGGATGAAATACTGGTATTTATCCAATGATCAGCAGAGACTCTGCAATTTTAGAAATAAGATCACCATATTCTGATTCTTTTCTGAAGATATTCAGGGTATTCACCTTATTAATTTATGATGCATATTTTTAAAAAATAGCAATCAAAGTCTCTTGAACAGAAGAATGTTATAATGAGAAGTGATTTGTGACACACTTCAGTTTTTACTTTTAGGGAAATGTTCATAAAACCTACCATTCTCCTACTCATATTATTTAACTTCCCTTTGCTCCTCAAAATTAGTTCTACGGCCACTTCTACTTCAAGGACAAAAAATGTCCTTGTTCATTAGAAAAATGAACTGAAAATCTTGTTGTTGTTGTTGCTGTTGTTTGGGGGATATATAAAATGTCTAAAATTGCATTCGCATCATTAAATAATCAAAATAACGTTACCATCTGGAAAGTTCCCCAAACTGCTCTAGCCCCATCCACAGCACATCACACACTCTCCTAATAGCCAAGTCTAACTGATTTTATTCCGTAATTCAAATTTTTATATCCTATGAGAGAAGTTTCCCAAACTGTCTTAATCCCTGGTATATGAAAACCTCCAAACTTTGAGCCAGAAAGCGCAATGCCCCAACCTAAGCAAACGCTTTAACTAACGGTGCATTGGAAGCTATATCCTCATCTATGCTATAGAATTGCAGCACATAGCCATGCCCACTGAACACCTACCCTGTTTCCCCCAAAATAAGACATCCCCTGATAATAAGCCCAATCAGGCTTTTGAGCACATGGCAATAAGGCCAAGCACTTATTTCAGGGTTCAAAAAAATATAAGACAGGGTCTTATTTTCGGGGAAACACGGTAAGCATTTTATATTTTGTTGTGGGCAAGTCCAAAATCTGCCATCTTGTGTTCTAATCCCCACTGAATGATACATTCCATTCATTATGGAAAGAATCACAGTAGAGGTAGAAGCTTTACTATATAGGACATCAGATGCAGAACTATGTTTGTCAGGGACTGTGATGTTCAGGTTGTCACTACAGAGTTAACTGAATAATTTATTTAAAAAAAATAAGCTAAAAAGAAACAAATGATAAAGTTTCACATATTTTTCCCCTGTGTCTCGATTGAGAAAATGTGGGTCACTGAGCAGATATAATCTGGCCTGAATACACACTGATGTAACAACATTAACTCCCTTTCTTATCTGAGAAGACTGAATTTTGTTTCAAAATCAATTTATAATGCTACAGATTACAATGCAGAACAAACCAATACATAGAAAATATTCTATGCTCAACCAATTGAACAGAAAAGACAAAATTTGAGCTACCCTGTTTCCCCCAAAATAAGACATTCCTGATAATAAGCCTAATCGGGCTTTTGAGCGCATGGCAATAAGGCCAAGCGCTTATTTCAGGGTTCAAAAAAAATATAAGACAGGGTCTTATTTTCGGGAAAACACGGTATTTTAAAGGCTAACATTTTAACAGAACTTTTAAAGAACTGTGCTGTATTACAGCTTTTAAGAACCAAGAGGTGAAATAATGTCACTCTTACAAGCCTATGGGTTTGTTCTTCTAATGAGACATCGTAATATTTATAAATTATATCACCAATCTCATGTCAGAGGAGGAAAAACTTGATAGGCATGAGAGATGGAGTCTAAGAATATTCCCTGCACATCACCCTACACTTCATTCACTGCTGCCTGAAGCCCACCACACATTTAGCTGCAGGATTATAGTGGAAAAACCTGGAGACTTAATTCTGCAATAAGACACATGCAAGACTTTTATACAAAGGTGAGCAATCTCCAGTTCTCTAGATGTTGTTGGAGCATAACACTCAACATCACTCAACTGTATTGGCTAAGAAGATTTCTTATTAAACAATGGCTCATTTTGGCAACAGACTTGAGGATGGGATATTAGACTTACAGTATACATAGTCCTCAATTTACAACAGTTAGTGACTGTTCAAAGTTACATCATCACTAAAAAAAAGGGACTTACAATTATTTTTCATCCACATGGTGAGGTGATCAAAATTGGGATGCTTTACAACTGATTCATATTTATGACGGCTGCAATGTCCTGGGGGTCATGTATTCCACCTTTGCAAACTTCTAACAAGCAAAGTCAACGGGGAAACAGGATTCACTTAGTAACCGTATTCCTAACTTAACAGCCGCAGTGATTCACTTAACAACTGTGGCAAGAAAGGTCGTAAAATGGGGCAAATTCACTTAACAAATATTTTACTTAACAACAGAAATTTGGGGCCCAATTGTGGTCATAAATCGAGGACTACCTGCACTTGCTTCCCA